TTTTAATGACTGGTAATTTGTGGCTTTTAATTCACAACAGAGAATCCATTGTAACATTTTCTCCTAGCATATCACAAATTCTTTCTGTAACTTTTGGAGACTGTCTCATTTGGACAGCACAGGAAAATGAAAATTTTTTTCCCCCCAAAAGCCTGATGCCTCCAGCAATGATTTTGGTCATTTATTAATGTGCTAGACTGTATTGAGAGAAGAATACAGTGGGTTTGGTTAATTTAAAAAAACAAAACAAAAAACCTCTTATCCCTTCAAAAGTTCTTTATTTGGATAGGATTACTAAAGATTTAAAAAGATTTGAGGCTTTAGCTTCAACCAACTCAATTATGGGTCCAAATTAGCTGTTAGGACGCAAGAGATTTTGAGGTCATTACAAATAGTTCTCTAAAAACATTTGCTGAAAGCTAACAGAATGTTAGGGCATTAGGAGCGAGTGAAGGGTTGCTATGAAGGGGCCCTGGGGCATGGCTCTATAACAGAGTAGATACCACTGGAAGCAAGCCTAGTGGGCTAACCAGGGTATTGTGATTCACCCTGCTAGATTCATGGAGAGCTGAGCTTGGAGATAGGGCTGTGAACTAGAGATGTAAGAGTGTAACTGGGTAGCCAGTTAACTGGTAAGCTGATACTTAATAGTTGCTGGCACCAGTTATACTTTTCATAGGACTGTTGGGGGCCCCTGTGGCCCTAGTAGTAACACAGAGCTGAGAACCCTGGCAGCTCCGTGGGCCTGAAAGCCCCGGGAGCCCTGATTGCCCTATGGGGTTGGGAGCTGCAGTAGGATCCCCATGAACCCTGCAGGGCCAGGAGCCCTGCAGGCCTCATGGGAAGCCATGCTTAACCATGTAACTGGTAGAAATTGTTACGTAGTTAATGATTATTTAGATTTTTTTTTTGCATCCCTATTATGGACCAAGATGTTAGAGGCAATGGTGCAAGGCCCTGTTGAACTTGTTCCTTAGAAAGGGTCTGTTTTGTCTGTATGCCTACAGATGCTATGCAACGTAGCCAGAGGGCCAAGTTCCTAAAATCTGTTTGAGAATTGCAACTATCAGCAGGGGTCCACAAATTGGGCAAAATTGGGAGGGTGCCGGGGCAGGTGCACTGGATCAGCAGAGGCACTCACAGAAGGTGAGCAGCCCCTTCTTGGGGGGCGACATGGTCTGTAAAATCATGAAAAGTGTTGAAAAAGGGAATAAGGAAGTGTTATTTATTCCCTCACATCATAGAAGAACCAGGGAAAATTAATAGGTAGTTGGTTTCAAACAAACAAAAGGAAGTCTGACTTGACACAATGCTCGGCCAAGCTATCAAACGTCTTGTGATAAGGCCATCAATTATTAGCCAAGATGCCAGGCTCCGAATGTCCCTAAACCTCTGACTGCCAGAAGCTGGAGCTGGACTGGGGGTGGGCTGGTCAGTAAGTCTGTTCACTCCCTCTGAAGGATGTAGCACCAGTTGCTGCCCAAAGACAAGGTACTGAGGTAGATGGACCATTAGTCCTACCCATATGGCCATGCTTATGTTCTTAGGACCTGTTGGAGTTTTTACAGGAATCTGTAATACATCTACATGCACATGGCCTGAATAGGGACAAAACAGAATGATTTAAAGCAATGGTGGTATAGTAGTGATATTGTCAGAACTTGGGCACTTGTTAAGTGAATGTCAGACACATAACTAGAATTTCCTGAAGGAAAGGGCCCAAAGTTCCAGTGGAGGGGGCCAAATCCCAGCTGGGCCAAATTTTCCAGTCAGGGGCTAAGGAGATCTATCCTGTACATCCTTAATTTCATGAGGTTTTGAATGTGAAGAGAGCTTAATATGTGACAGTTATGCAGGATGGATACAAATCAGTGATATTAAAAATTGATCTGTTGTTCTAAAGGACGTGTTCATTGACTGCAGAAACAATTGGTTCAGTTCACTAACTGCAGAAAATACTTCCTTATTAAATAAATTAGGTATTTTAAAATGCAAAACATGTTTTGATAACTGTTTTCTCTTTTATTTTGAGATCTACTGATGAAAAGCTCTGAAGGGGAACTCTGGTATTATTTTTAGGAATTTAGAGCTCCTATACCTAGATCTGTAGAAAACAAAGGGAAACTTCATTTCACATTTGGATTTCTCTCCTTAAGGAGTTCATATGTACGGCTTATTGTGTTAGTGTCTTGTGTGATGGGGCTATGAATCCATCCTCATGAGCCATGTGAACAGTAAAACTGTCCAAATTGTGGTCTTAAAATGTATGGCTGTTTTCTTTAGCGCACAAGTTCTTGAAGATGTTACTGTTCTACAAAGTTTGTAAAAAGCACTCTGATGGACTGCACTCTATGATGGACTGACTTGTCTGGGAATGCCTTTTTGTGTGTAAAGTGTAATCATGTGCTGTAAACTATTCTTAATCGTTTGCAGGAGGCTAGGCCTGTGAATTAGGGATGTAAGGGAGTAGTCAGCTAGTCAATTACCCGATAATTGAGTTGACTACTCGCTCCCCCCCCCCAGCTGCCTCTATGCCTTAAAAGTCGGTTCCCCTCAGCACCGTCTCTGCGGTGTGAGAGAGTGGGGGGTTCAGGAGGCTGAGCCATAGCATCCTGGAGCTGGCGCAAACCGGAACTGCTTAGTCCCTGCTCGCGCTGGCCTCGAGAGCTAACCTTGCTGTGGCTCTGCAGTTGAAATTAAGGTCGGTAAAAACCCTTGCTGCCTCTATCAAATAGAAGAGGAAGAGTTCCTTCAAAGCAGTAGTGCCGAACGGAGCCCATACCCAGCTTCATGCAAAATTCCATTGACTACTTAATTAGCTGATTAACCACAATTTAATGTTCCTACTGTGAATACTGATAGAATTACCAAACATAAAGCAGATGAAAATAGGAATGGAGAGGCGAGAAATAAGCTTTAAAAGACCCCTTCCCCCATTCTTTCCTCCCTTCCCCCCCAACAATATGATTCTAAGATCTGATGTGACCTGTCAGTTTTGTATTTAATCGGAAAGCTATGACCCTCAGGTCTCTAGTGATGACTTTTCTCTGTAAGTGGGAGACGGGGGGGATCACGTGAGGATTGCCTGTTGTGATCCCTCCCTCTGGGACATCTGGTATTGGCCACTGTTGGCAGACAGGATACTGGGCTAGATGGACCTTTGGTCTCATCCATTCTGGCCGTTTTTATGACTGTTTCTACATGTTAAAGTAACAAACAGTAAATTGGTCACTGGTGCAGGATTGAATAATGCAAATGCTGGACCTCAAACCTGTGACCTCTGTAGGCTGTGAGTTGCAAAGGAGCCCAAGGGACTTAATACTAAAATCCCATTTAAATCTGATAGCAGTAGGGCACCAAATGTCTTTAAGCTTTTTAAAAAAAAATCCATCTATGATTTTTCCCCATGACCCATATTTGTGCAAAAAAATATTTTTATGGTAGACTCTTTAAGGAAAAAGGGGAAAATTCCTCTTAGATTTTGAGTTAGAGGTAGCCTTTCTTTCAGCGAGTGAGTGGGCATGATGCAGATAAGACGGTCACAGATGTGAAATACTGTAGTATGCTTCCATATATCAATCTGCAGTTGATTCCACGAGAAGGAAGGATGACCTTCAACTAAAGATCTGGAACAGAGAGTAAGGAGACATGGCTCTTGCTCCTGGATTTGCTCCAGGGTTTGCTGTGTAGCCTTCAGAAAGTTGCTCTGCATCACTTTAAAATAGGTATAATGCTAGTCTATCTCAAGGGTGATGTAACAGGCTTTTGATATTTGTACGGTGCTCTGACCACCTCAGGTGGAAGTTCTTGTCACTAATTTCATGATATTGCAGCTTATGCCATGGTTGTCACAGATTCAGATGAGGGATACTTCCTTTCTTATAAATGCTGGTGTGGTAGCCAATATTGCAGTTGATCAAGTGACATAATGTTTTAGTTACATCTAAGCATGCTTACGAGTCTTAGCTCTTACTCTGATAAAATATGAACTGTTTCCCACTTACTCTTTCTCCTTTTCTGTTGCTAATAAACCAAAGTTATGTTTACTTCATCATTGGGAAAAGCTGTTACTTGACAGTAACTTTGATTCACTTGTTACCAAGGTCTTATACATACAGGAAAAACTAGGTTAATGTCTTAAGCTTGCAAAGTGAAGCACAGAAAATATTAGAATTAATTTTGGTTATGCAACTTTAATTAGGCTTCCTGCTTATGAATTATAGTCTTCAGTTACAGGACTGCAGTATTGTCAATCCCAAGCACCAGAAAAAAAATCAAGAGATTGGTTGAATAAAGTTTATGGCTCTCGTTTGCTTTTGAGTTTTAAGTTTTAAGGTACACATTGGGTAATGTGGTCAAGCATTTCTCTGTGACCCTGAAGCTAGAAACCTTTGTAATGAAAGCTGAAACCCTCTGTGCAGTTGCTAGGGATGTTCGAGTGTAAACAACTAACAGTTTAATTTAGGTAGTGGTTAAACGGTTAGTCGTTTACACGCAGCGAAGCCTCTTCCCCGGGAGCCAGGCAAACAAGAGCTACCCGCCTGGCTCCCTGGGAGCGGAGGGGGGTGGGTAAGGGCTGCCTGCTCCACTCCTGGTGAGGAGTCTTGGATTTGGGCCAGCAGAGGTGGGTGGCCCCTCTCCTGGGGAAGCTTTGCTGCAGGCTCTGCCCTGAAACTATGGCAGCCTATTATTTTCATAGCACTTGACTGATGGGGAAAATGAAACAGAGGGGTTT